AGAAGGCCTGGAGGAACATTGTCCATGGGGTCGCGATGGGTTGGACACGACTTCGCAACTAACAACAACAACAACAACAATTTGGTTCTGCTTCAGCATTCAATGCATCCTGAAATTCATGCAACAATATTTTACATTTAAAATTTTTTAAATCTATCATATTAAATATTTAAATATTTAATCTTTTAAATATTGAAATATTAAACATTACAAAAATATTTAATTATTTTAATTATTTATTATTAAATATTATTAAATTTATTATTAAATTAATACCACTTTACAGTGCCTTGGTAAGGCCTCACTTGGAATACTGCATCCAGTTTTGGTCACCACGATGTAAAAAAGATATTGAGACTCTAGAACAGGCATGTCAAACTTGCGACATCACGTGACGTCATGCGACATATCGGAGCTTTTTTGCCATTGCCGGCAATGGGGTGGGCGCGGCTCTGGTATGATGAAAGCGGCCCGCGGGCCGGCAGTTTGACACCCCTGCTCTAGAAAGAGTACAGAGAAGAGCAACAAAGATGATTAGGGGACTGGAGGCTAAAACATATAAGGAACGGCTGCTGGAATTGGGTATGTCTAGTTTAATGAAGAGAAGGACGAGGGGGGACATGATAGCAGTGTTCCAATATCTCAGGGGCTGCCACAAAAAAGAGGGAGTCAAGCTATTCTCCAAAGCGCCGGAAGGCAGGACAAGAAGCAACGGATGGAAACTAATCAAGGAGAGAAGCAACCTAGAACTAAGGAGAAACTTCCTGATAGTTAGAACAATTAGCCAGTGGAACAACCTGCCTCCAGAAGCAGTGAATGCTCCAACACTGGAAGTTTTTAAGAAGAGACTGGACAGCCATTTGTCCGAAATGGTATAGAGTTACCTTCCTGAGCAGGGGGTTGGACTTGATGACCTCCAAGATCCCTTCCAACTACTACTACTACTACTACTACTACTTCTACTACTATTATTATTATTATTAAATAGACATCCAATTATTTAAATATTAGATAAATATTTCATGAAAATAAAATATTTTTAATATTTAAATATGTTTAAAAGAATGGTTGCAGGAATTGGGTATGTCTAGTCTAGTGAAAAAAAGGATATGGGGTGACAAGTGTTCCAATACTTGAGGGACTGTCACAAAGAAGAGGGGGTCAACCTATTTTCCAGAGCACCCTGACAGTGAGAATAATAAGCCAGTGGAATGGTTTGCCTTCAGAAGTTGTTACTTTTAAAAGCCTTAGTGGAGGCTTTTTAAAAAAAACTGGACAACCATTTGTCTGAAATGGTACAGGATCTCCTGCTTGAGCAGAGCATTGGACTAGAAAACCTCCAAGGTCTCTTCCAACTCTGTTATTCTCTTAAAATGATATAAAACAACTTCTCTGTTGTTAGTGTAGGTCAGGAGCTCTATGCATTAGTATAGTAACTATTTCTCTGTACAGTATTTCTATGGGGCAAACAGAATGATCTGGTACTCAATATGCAACATGCAATATGCAATATATGGTATACCTGATAGAGAAATACTGCCTCCTTGATTGATGTAGCCATCCATACTGCAACAGTTATGATTCTGATATTGCAAAAGGAGGCATTCCTGTGGAATTTCACTTGAAAGCGAAACCACCTAGACAAACAGTGGAAGTGTTTTGATTTTATACAAAGAGGAAAGGTTAAAGAGGTATCACACGCAAGATGTGCTACACCTTTTCTTTTGTCCAAGAACACTAATAATTTTGATTTTTCTTTTCATTTTTGTTAGGTCCAAAAAGTTTTATAGGCTCTTAGCACTGTGGCTCTTATGCCTAATCTATGATACAGGCATGCTACAGTAAGAACTTTTATGGGCTATCTTGGGAAGACAAACTAGAGATTTGGGGTTATTGAAAAGAACAAGATATATTACAACCTGAGCATAACTGGAAACAAACAGCAAACCATCTGTACAAACTATTCTCAATACCTAATAACAAATTAAAATCCAGTGGACCATTTTTCTTATTTTGTCAGCCTTCACTTCATATAGTATTTTTTTTCTTATGCACATCTGAAGGTTCACTTTTAGAAGGCAGCGATAATGGGACATAGAGTATTTTTCTCTAATGATCTCACTCCAAAGTTTCCAAAATAGTCCCTATATCAAGAAATCATTTGTCCGACTGTCCTGGGTTATTGTTATGTGACAAGGATTATAATCACTCCTTTAATAACATTTTACCTCGCCATTGGCATCCATGCTCACCTGAAGCTTAGAATGTGTCTTAACTTCTACATAGTCTTCAGAATGGAACTGAATAACTTCTTCTTTGGGTTCCTAAAATGATGCATTAATTTAAACGGAGGAAAGCCATCATGAAAACAATAAAACATACTATTTTTATATCCATGGTTTATACCCTGAGCCATATGTTTAAACCTGGATCTATAACCATTTTATAGCAGATGAAGTGATCACTTTAAAGAACAGAAGGTATAAAAGTAAGGAATGTAGAATCTTCTCAATAGCTAGGACTATCTTCTCACAGCCCTTTATTTCATCCATTTTTCTCCCAACTAAAAGCCTAATACTTGATATTAGCCAAATAACTCAGTTCATTTTTCTTGTGCATCCTTTGCTCCTTAAATGAGATCTCATACAGTTAGAATAGATTTTGTTTTAAAGGTTGATTGCAGAATTTAGGATCAAGCAAGCATTGTAATGTATCTGATATACTAGCAAGATCTAATATATGTACCTTCTTAGCAGAACTAACACAGAGTTGGGGAAGTTTCCCTTAGGGCACTAGAAACAATATGGGAAAAATCTGAAACATACATTGTGCCTAATATAACATGCAGTTTATTCACCTGACTCATAACAAATTATTTTTCCTATGCATGGTTATTAAATACAATTGCTGCAGCTAACAGGGTTTATGTTTTACTTCTATCTTGCATCACCTCATCTGCCTTTGAGCAGAAGACTGAGTTACAGTAAATATGCTTGTACAGTAGTAAGTATGTACATGAGTGTACATACTGTATGTGCATGTGTGCATATCAAATAATCTTTTAAAAATCTTATGACTGAAACAGAAGAAATATCTTCCCAACAGACGAGAACATATTTAGCTCATGGTTAAAATGTAAAGTCCTTAGTGGTCTCTGAGCTGTTTGCCTGCAGATGTCTCTTTGCCCAACTAGTGTGACTGAGTGTGGGGTTTGCTACATGTTTATAGATAAGAGCTTGCCTGGTAGGAGTGTGGTTGCCTCCTCGATGGTTCTTGACTGGAGTATTGTTTCTGCCAGATTGTTAGTCTGGCACTGATCACTGCACCCACCAGTGCTACTACCCCCTACCATCCACAATTATTCCATCTGCTGCCCATTGCCCACAGCAGGTGCAGTGATGGCCAGTGAGTGGTAAGAGTGGCTGATAATGGGGGCAGTAGCAACAGCAGCCATGGAAGTGGGAAGGATTGTATCAGCAGTAGCAGCAGGTACAGTGGCCTGCAGGGCAGTGGGCACTGTGGCTGGCAATGGTGGCAGTAGTAGCAGCAGTGTAGGCGAGTGGCCAAAAGACAAATGGGGGGGAGACTGAAGTGGAGGCAGTCTCTGCCTTGCAAGAAGAATGGCTTGGATCAGGGTGGGTCCTCGTCTAATGACCACATGTGATTTGCTTAACAACAGCAACAGGGTCTGTTGAAACTGGCATCATTAAGTGGAGCAGTCATGAGATGTTTTATTTAACATCCACTTTCCTTAAAGATGGAGTTGCCAGTCCCAATCAGGGTCCTTAAAAATGAGGACTATTTGTATTGTCTCCAATCAACAATCCTGCTGCTTAGTGCAAATGTGTTTGAGTGTTGAAACAGGCAATTGTATTGGTCTTATCATTTTCAGGAAAAAAAATTGCCTGCTAAGACTCATATTCTTAATTTTTGAGGCACAGCTCATGATAGTTCATCCTGTCTTGAGATCAACCCAGAAAAATCTGAAATGTTGACAAAGTTCCAATAATAATAATACATCCCTTAGAACAATCCAATAGTATTTGTAGGATAAAGATTCATTTCTTTCAAATCAGTTCAGCAGAGACATTAATATACAACCTTATTTAAAAGGTCTCATCAAAATCTCATCAACCACAAGCATACACACATACATAATGGCTAGCTGGACTTTTTCTCAAATGGTAACCAGTAGTGGAAGGTTTAATACTATTGAAAAGGAGACTTATAAAAATAGAAGTATCAGTCAAATGCAAGTAGAACAGGAATATAAGCCAAATTCTGTATCCCTACGAGGAAATCTCAAAGGTCTGGCTGATTCATACTCAATTTTAATATACACCATACCTTAGCAAGCAATGCCCACTGCTGCAACATTCTGACCAATAAAAAATACAGGGCTAGAAGGAAAAAAGGATTCAAAGCCACTGGCCAGTTTAGGTGAGGATGAATGTGTAGTTTCCAAGGTGCTGTAATGTTTGTCTTAATAAGTGGCACTATGCCCAAGATCCTAGAGAAAAAGACAATAGAAGAAAAGCTGCAGAATTCCGATTCATACATGTTGAAGGAGTGGATCCAATGGAACTAGTTCCTCAACATCTAATTTAATCCTAACCAGCTGATCACATGTATAATATTGATAGGGGGTTAAGGATTTTTTCCATGTCTCTTTATTGCCCATCATTCTATATGGTCTTTTTCTCAGAGATTGTTAATCTGGTTCATAGTCTTCTATGAGCTCAATTCTTGGACTCTCTTTCTGGGAGGTTATAGCAATGTAGATGTTAGACTTTGTTCCATGGATATGCAGAGCAAGAACAGAGATGTCCTTGAAGAAGTGATTGAAAAGGTGTTGCATAAACAAGAGCTTAACCTGAGAAGGGAAGAAGGAGTCAAAAGAAATTCAAAATTGCCCAGCCTTAATTCTCTTGCGTAAATAGGGAGTGTAAAAGAAACAGTATCAGGGTGCCAGATTTCTCTTATTATAACTTGTAAAAAAAATAGTGTTCTGATAGACTTTTTCCTGATTTGGACTGCTTGAAAGGAATAGCTTTAATCTTGAAAACCCGTCAGGTTGTCTCTCCCTCCCCTCTTCAAAGTGATACGCAAGAAAATTAAAATGGAGCAATCTTGAGTTTTTTCTCACTTCCTCCTCCCTTTCCAGGCTAAGCTGGTGTTACCATAATGGTAGCCAAATACCATTTTCAGAGCCATCTTCAAACTTTAACATTCTATGATGTATTTTCTAATTACAGAACTAAACGTTTTGTTATAGTTACCACACCTGCTTAGCTAATCATTGCTTAGATTAGATTCCTGCTCTCAGGAATTCATAATGTATACATCAACCCCAAATAAAACAAATTTTAAAAAAGGAAACTTTCCTGAATCTGCAAATTCTATTGCCTCAGTCTATTTCAGGCTTCTGCTTTTGGGTGCCCATGAAATCTGGTGGACTTGATTTTCCAAAATCCCCTGTCAAATATAACAAAACTTCAGAATTTTGGTCCAACACATCTGAAGAGTGCAAGCAAATTGGGAACACCTGTTCTGCTTCATAATTCAGTGAAATATGTATAATATTTTCCTATGAGTACAATCATTTCAAATAATAATTTGCAAGTACATAAATGTGAATGAGCAAAGCTACAATCCTAACTATTACTTAGGATGATTCTGCAAGTAATTTAGATGCACATGTACATAGGAAGCACTGAAAACTGGTAGCTTTTCCTAGGATAAGCACCTGGCTTTATTTTTCTTCTTATTTTCATTTTCCTAAATCTAAAAATAAACAGAAATAATGTTAAAATAAACAAAGTAAAATTTCAGAAATATTTTGCATGCTATGTGCTCTGCACTTCTTCATCTCAAGTCATTTTTTTCCAGTGGCAAACTGCAACCAGGACTTAAAATGAGTGATATGGTGAATACAAGGTATTATACCTTCTACCAAAAGTAATACCTAAAATGACTGAGATAATCAAATTTAAATAAAATAAGCATAGTCAATTGAGGTTTCACCTTTATGTTTTCTCATCTGTGAGATTTGTTTTTACCTGACATAAATGTCTTCTGAAGAAATAAGGTCTTGGAAGTATGGCAGTTGGTATAGGTAAAGCACAATGATGTGTCCGGCGGAAAATATTGCAAGAAAAACACACAAACTATTGAAGAGAACTGGGCTGATTGGACAATTCCAGGACCACCAGGTGCACAAGCCCAGGAAGGTAAAGAAATAAACTGCTGAGCATGCAGAAGGCAAAATTATACCTAGGGATAAGGAAATATGATTTTCTTGGTAATAAGGTCCAGTTTATACCATTGGAGATCCACCACAAAATTAAGAACACCTTCATAGAAATAAAAGCTTTCTAAATGTAATAATAAAATAAAATAAAATAAATAGAATAGAATAAAGGTGGTCCTCATATATCAATAGTCTCATTTCATGACCACTCAAAGTTACAATGGTGTTAAAACAACATAACTTTATGACCAATTCTCACATTTACATTTACTGTATATCCATTGTCTACGGAGATTCTCAATCAGGTCATGCTTTTCCAAAAGGTAACTGGAATTTCTTGATTTTTTTCTTTGAAAACATTTTGCTTCTTGGTGGCGTAGTAGTTAGAATGCAGTATTGCAGTACTGCAGACTGACTCACTGTTCACTCCAGAGTTCGATTCTGAGTGGCTCAAGATTGACTCAGCCTTCCATCCTTCTGAGGTTGGTAAAATGAGGTTGGTAAAATGAGGTAAAAAGTGTTGGGGGCAATATGCTGACTCTGTAAACCACTTAGAGAGGCTGTAAAGCACTATGAAGTGGTATATAAGTCTAAGTGCTAGTGCTATTGCCTCTTATTCAAGAAATCTCTGAAGAACTGAAAAAGTTTCTTGGATGAGAAGCTAATTTTTTTTAAAAAAAAAAACAACAAAACACGAAAATCCAGTTGCCTTAGAAAAGCACATTGGGATTTACATCCATTGCAGCATCCTATGGTCATGTGATTGCCATTTGCGTGCTTCACAACCAGTTTCTGACAAGCAGAATTAATGAGAATGAGGAAGTCAAACTGCAAGTCATGGTCACATAATGTCTCATTTAACAATCATGGTGATTTACTTAATGAAATAGGAATTGATATCATATGCCCATCACATTCATGTGAGTTTCCACTTAGCAACCAGGGCACTTAGCAATGGATCAGTAGTCCCAGTAGAGGTTGTTAAGCAAGGACTTTCTGTAAAAACAGGGGTGGGCAATTAATTTTCCCCAGAGGCCACATGAGAAACTGGAGTTGTTGTGGAGGACTCCTGCCCCCCCTCCTAATCAGAATGGAGAAGTCTGCAACAATGTGGTGGATGTGGGTAAGACATGGGTGAAAAGCAAAAGCTAGTCTGGCTAAAACTTCCAAGTTACTGCTACTAATGGGCCAAGCTTGCTATTTATGACTTCTTCATGTGGAGAAAGAGGGATCATTATTAACTGAAACAGACCAGGAGATACCTGTTCTCCATTTGGTATAATTTGTATTGTCCTGTCATACAAATACCCAAACACTATATCCAGATTTAAAAATGCCAAAGATCACCTTCCTTTTTCTTTCTTCTTGTGGGGGCACTACATTATGCCTAACCTAACCCACTGTCCCACAAATGTGTGAAATGACTTGTACCTGTTGAGCCTAACAGAAGCATAACAAACACTTTGCCAGCAGTTCTAAGTGTGTCTTCAGAAAGAATCTCCAAGCCTGTTAGGAACAATGTGAATTTCAGAAGGAAACCTGAATGGCTGCATCTTAAATGATCCTTTTCAAATAGACAGCCAATGTCTGTGTCTCCAGTATCTTCAGTTTCTGCTTCAGATTCCTGTGGATATGGAATATATTGATCAAGAATCAATGTTCAACACAAGCAGCAAAATCATCAGACAACAAGAGGGCTAGAGATTATGTTACAATTCTGTGTAAGGAATTGTTGTTTCTCCAAATAAAGCACTTAAACAAATCCAGTTGGGGGGAAATGTTGATGGATTATTTCATCTTCTTAAAGCCTGATAAATGATTAGGGCTCTGCTGATATGCCAATGTATTCAATATATATGTGTGGTCATATTTTTAAAAAAACAGGCAAACAAGTCTATTTTCTCATCTGATAAATGTGGAAAAGTCTATATACTTTTGGAAGGAATATGAGAAATTAGACAGATATTTCTTTCTGCACTCTTCAATGAGTACAACATTTATTTACTTCAGATTTATCTAAGAGATGCAAGTTTCGGTCTCTTTTTTTAATGTGGTCTTTTTGAAACCTGTTTTTAGGCTGAAGTTATGTTTATGCTTTGCTTCAGCACCACTGAATTTAGACAGATTTATTTCTGAATAGATATGTATCACATAAGGCTAATGAGTCCAAATCAAACATTTGTACACAATTATTGCTTTTTAATTATAAGGATTACACATGGATTATTAGATACTTTAAAGTTCAAGTTCAAGCCAAATAACTCATTTGATGAATTATTTCCATTTCCAATTAATTAACTGATTTTGTCCCCTTTCATACTCTTTGAAGTATGGTAAGCCTCAATTTCTGTCATCATGGTTCAGTGAATAAACCAAAATTGACTGAGCCATAAACTACCATGGTTGGGTTGAATGCAAAAGTCTGAGCTAAAAACTAACCAACCACACTATGCTTGAGTAAATCACTGGAATGAGATTCTGATTCATGTTATTTATATTTGACAGTTATATTTGCACAAATATTTTATGAAACTAACTCAGTTCTCTATATTTGCATGACATATTTGTGTTTGTATGTGATGCATATAAGAAGGGGGAAGGGCTTTGACTGCACAATTGTAGCCACCATTTTGATTTTTTTGAACTCCACAAAAAGACATTGAAATAAAAACAAATCACACAGTTTAAAATAGCACAAGGTACAAGGCTAAAAAGTGGTTGCTAGTTTGAGGTTCAGAATGTCATGTGAACTAAGTCACTGAATGCTTTTATTATAAAAGATTAAAGACGACCCTTTCCCTTTTCTTTTCTAATCTTCACTCTGTTTCTGTTACACCAAGAAATGCAACACATGCAGCATCTCTACCGTCTCTTTGATGTCTTCTTCCTCATCAGAAGAGAATTGATCTTGGTCTCTAGATGGAGGCTTCCCCAATTGTTGAATTTCTTGGTCCCCATGGAGGCTTCCCCAATTGTTGCGTTTCAATGTCTTATGGTAAAGCAGTGTGACAGTCAGACCAAAAAGAAACATTCCAATGTCAGGAGCCAAAAGATGTATGATGTTTCCAGCATCAAGCCTGCTAAACCTACAGGGTACATGGAATGTTAGTATTTTATAAAGCTAAGATTTTCCCAGTCTAGTAGGAGAAACTTCTTTATTTTTGCTCCATTTGCTATGGATCAGATTCTGATTTAGGCAAAACAACACAAGCTTTTCCTTAATCCTTGGAGCTCAATGATTAAGTATCTAACATCCTCCAATTGCATTTTAAATCTGCATGCCTGGAATTAAATTCTACTCATATCACAGGGATTTAGGTCCAGGTTATTCACCGAGAAAAGAGATACCATGCATCAACCATTTACTTTGTATCACAGATGAAGTCATTTCTGCATTCATCTATCCTCCTATCCTGCACTTTATAGATAAATCATATTCAGCCAATGAATTATTATGTATTAAACTTTAATCCCCATAATTAAGAGTTATAATTAAATGGTATTTGCACTACTGGCAGATGATTTCACCATACTGGAGGGTACCAAATGATAATGAGTTTGAGAAATAAGAGCATACCACCAATGTTTTATCCTCCCAAACATTCATGCACAGTTTACATGCATCCTATTAATTTATGTTGCCTTTTTGCTGATTTCTTACCCTTCAGCTTCCAAGAGGGAAATGCAAAGAACATCATAGACTTAATTTCCTGCCCCATCTCACCCAAACTTCCACCATGTAACAAAAATCCCTCTATTTTCATGCCACACAAAAAGAAAATAAAAATGTGAGCACATATCTTCCCTTCCTTCCTTTTCAATACTTGTATTTCCAACTGGGTGCATATTCCCAAAGCTGTGACCATTATTGCAAATTGGATTGGGGGAAAAGGGATAATTTCTGGTAAAGAATGGGTTGTTGAATCTCTGAGGGTGGAAAGATAAAGAGAGGAATCCTTTTCTTGAACCTGGGAACCAAGATATGGGGTGAGGCAAGAATTCCTATTATGGGTACAACAGACTGCCCGCCAGATCTACAATCAAGAGATTCAAAGGAAAATACTACCTACAAAAAGCTGGAGGAGAGTTATTAATGTATTGATTCATTTTCTTCAAAACAGATAGCATCATGAGATCAATTAGGGCTGGAGCCAATCCCAAAGTGGTGCAAAGTGGACGGGTCCTTTAGAGCTTTACATAATGAAGATGGAACAACTTAAAATGGGTCACTAAACAACCTGTGCTAGTGAAGCTACTGCAAAGAGACCCCAATACATAGGCTGAGGGTTCTAGTCCAGGAAAATCACAAGCTACGCCAGAGAGTGAAAAACAATTGTGTTAAAAATGCCACTTACTCAAAATGGAAGCAGATGCATCATACATTTAAATAAGTTTTCCCAAGGTGTGAGGAACAAGCCACTGAATCCATCAAATCTGGCTGTCAAAAAGACAGCATTAAGTAACATTCTAGAATCTCTGGAAAATGGTTAACAATGGGATGGGAAGGCTTGTTTGCTATTACTGGTACTTATTTATATTTATCAAAATATTAAATTGTTTATAAATACATAGAAATAATAAAATATTTATTCAAATTTTCCAGTGATTGTCCTGATGGTGCAATCAAAGTTCTGTGGCACACATAAAAAATGGGCAAAGTTTCAATTGTACTGTCATGGCTGCTATTTTGACTTTTTTCAACCATGTCCTTTGGACAACCCTACCTTTTCCCACCCCAACAATAAAACCAGGCAATTGAATTAAAATCTTACCGTACAATACCAAAATGTGACAGCACTTCCTCCACAAAAAAATCTGGGAAAAGAAAAACCATTGGTTTGGAAACAGCCATTACATTACATTCCTCAATATCTTTTAACATATTTTTGTACTAAAAAATGTATATTTTGGTGGAACTGAGGTGTGTTTGGGGGGGTGTCTAACACATGATTGCGTTACTGGCAAAATAAAATATTTGCAGTCCTTCATATGATTGTCTTAGAATTTTGAAATTGGCAAAGAAATACGTGTAAAACAAATGTAAAAAGCAGGTCATTCTAATTCAAATTAAAATCAATTTCCTGTATATAAACATGAGGGACATGTCACTGCCCAAGTCATACTTGGCTTGAACCCTATGAATGATGACAAATATTTCTAATAAGTTATTCTGATAAGTTTCAAATGGCCTCATATTACCAAAATCAGAAAATACTTTTATCCCCCAAATGACACTTTTAAAAATACTTGTGTCTGTTTTTCAACAAAGTAACTGAGCATTTTATAAGAGGTATTTTGGAAGATTCCAGAAAAGGAAAAAAATTCTAAACAAAAAAAAAAACAATTTCCCAGTAGTTCAGATTTAAAGATAAGTTTACATGAAAGTAGACATTGTTATTTTGTATCTATAAATACCTTCTAGATTCACTACACTTTTTTCAAAGAACTTAACACTAGCTTACTAAACCACAGATATACCAAGTCCTTGCATATTAAAATATAACCTTATACCCCTTTTTATTTCTTTTTCTATAGAGATATTGTACAGCAATAATGTAGAAGCCATTTTGAATTTCTCAGATTTCAAACTACCTCAGAACAAACCATTCTGAGGTAATGTTTAAAACTTGAGAAATTCAAAATGGTCACCGAGAATTCAACCTATGATTGCTGTAAAGAAGATTGGAAGCTACTTCTTTGTATCTTTTTTTTTCTTTTTCTTTATTCTTTCTGGAATTTTTAACTTTTTCTTTGACTTCTTTCTTTTTCTTTTCTGTTTCTTACTTTATATTAGTTAGAATTAGTTTTTAATTTTTTATTTAACTTTTTATTTTACAAATATTTTAGTCAGCTCTAATTGATGGTGTTTTCAAAGAACACTAACTCCTGGTTAAATAACTAATTAATTTTGATGTGCAAAAATATCTTTGATAAATTATTCCAAGTCTGATCTCTAGCTGTAATGCTTTTTATCCCTAGAACAAATTATTGCCATGAAATTTTGAACTGATCTGTACCATTAGGTGGTAAGTAGTAGAAAGCTATTTGAAAAGCCACTTGTAACATAAGAAATATGAAGCTGGTATAGCTGACGGTTCTAAACAAGTGTCTGGTGAACCCTGAAAGACAAAAACATAAACATTATGAAAATATCTCTATTCCATCACACAATTCCATTAAAAAAAAGCAACAAAGGGGCAAAATCCTAAAATTTAATAAGTTGATTTCTAAATCACGATGCAACTATTTATGAGAGAATAAATATCTGGCTTCCAGAATGGGATTAATCATAAAGGGATATCCAGCCAGTTTAAAGTGAAGTATGTTTAGATAAATGAAATTAGTCACAGATTTTTGGACCAAAGTTGAAATAGTGCTGTGGTTCTTAAATACGATCCAAAGAATACTGTGGCTACTCAGAAGATTTTGTAGGAAATGTTCTGAGACAAGAGCGATAAGTGCAGATCAGAGACCATAAAAGATGCACATGCTGATGCTATGAATGGCTTCTGCCATTTATACAGAGCAACAAAAACTGTATTCATTTTTACAAATGCCTCAGAATTTCTTGTGATGCTCCCTTATACCAAGGGCAATGTTGAAAATAGAACATCTGAGAAAATATGAGGACCCAAGAGTAGACAATATGTTGAGATTCAAACATTTTGGTCACCTAGACCCCACATTTTAGATCAGTGTTTATCAATCTTGGCAATCTTAATTCCCTGCTGGTTGGGGGAAATCTGGAAGCTGAGTCCACACAATTTAAAGTTGCCAAGATTGAGAAACACTGTTCTAGATCTTCTGTCTGCTTATGTTTTCTAAGACAGACACGTGGATCCAAACACAGATTAAAGTGCAGCACTTTTCCATGAAAATTATTATAAACAGATAATTTGTAGTCATTATTTAAGACACTCAGGACATATGAAAATATAATTTGGAGTTAAAAGTTACTATCACTTTTTTCTGCTTTACTATCTCATTTTGGTCCACCTGTATGTGGGAGATATAGGGGGAAAGGAGGAATACTGCACATTCATGTGATTATGGGTGTTCATTATTTATTTATTTATTATTTATTTATTTATTTATTATTTCAATTTATATCCCGCCCTTCTCCCGAAGGACTCAGGGCGGCTCACAACATTATTTAAAAGACAAAGAAAGACTCACACACCCCACCGAATAAAACCAAATTAAACCAATATTTTAGTGTTGTGGTGATTTAAAATTGCTAAAAAACCCAATTTAAAAATCCTCCCTAGGCCAGGCCCGCTTGTTGGAAAAGCCATGTCTTGAGGGCGCGGCGGAAAGTAAGGAGATCCGGAATGATCCGGATCTCGGGGGGTAGATCATTCCAGAGGGCAGGGGCACCNGTGAGAGACGTCGAATTCTTCTAAACGCCCAACTTTAGCCATGATCGATGATCAAGTTTCTTCTTCTTCAGTCGCACTCACCCTCCAGCGATTTCGTACTGGCAGGATAACGCTGACTTCCACGCCGTTTCTTTCCCGGACTTCTTTGGGTGAGTCTTCTAGCTTTTCTTAGCTGTAGAGACTGAATCCCACCTTCGTCGCCAGTGTTAAGTCCTGGGAATAATGGCGCTTGAGACGAATCATCTCCAACAAGTCTTTATTGTTTGCTCCACTCTATGAACAACCAGAGCAGAGGCACGCAGGCCTCTATTTATACCCTCTGATCCCCGAGCAAGTTCAACCAATCATGAGGCGGGCTTTTCCCACCTTGCGCATGCGCACAAGGCTGGCGCCACTCAGTCTGGTCCCGGGCAGCTTCTGCAAATGCCCGGGACTCTTGCAACGTCCCGAGCCTGCCTCTTGCAGGCTCAGGACACAACAGGGAGCTTTACCTGGAAGTAGGTGAAGGGGATAGCCTTACTGTGATTCTGAAGTGTGTGTTTGTGTGTGTATGCATATGTGTTTGCAGCTACTTCTACAAGACATGCAATACAAACATCCTAGACAATTTTTTCTCCCACCAGACAGAAGTCCAAAGTGTTCAGGACTTGCTGTGCCAACCATTCCAAATGCCATCCCTCCATGAATCCATTCAAATGACTAATTACAATACCAATGAGGCAAGAAAAAAAAACCTTACAATGAGTTTCCACCCTCCCCCCATGTTTTTTCCCATTGTCTTCTGAAGCTTCACATGGGGGCCAATGGTTCCAGGAGTCCTTCCTTTCTCTGCAGCTTTCACAGGCCTCTGGGTGATGGTAGGGCTTGGGAAGGTCTGTTCCACTCTGGTTGCATGTTGACCTTTTAGTGGATGACTGGATTCAAACCAAGAGAGAAAATGAGCAAAGCTGAAGAACATTCTCTAATAAACAGCTTGGCTGTTTCATATTTTTTTTTTTTATTATTATTATTATTATTATTTCAATTTATATCCCGCCCTTCTCCCGAAGGACTCAGGGCGGCTCACAACATTATTTAAAAGACAAAGAAAGACTCACACACCCCCCACCGAATAAAACCAAATTAAACCAATATTTTAGTGTTGTGGTGATTTAAAATTGCTAAAAAACCCAATTTAAAAATCCTCCCTAGGCCAGGCCCGCTTGTTGGAAAAGCCATGTCTTGAGGGCGCGGCGGAAAGTAAGGAGATCCGGAATGATCCGGATCTCGGGGGGTAGATCGTTCCAGAGGGCAGGGGCACCCACAGAGAAGGCCCTCCCCCTGGGGGTCGCCAGCCGACATTGCTTGGCCGCCGGCACCCTGAGGAGACCCACTCTGTGGGAGCGTACCGGTCTATGGGAGGGAATCTGTGGCAGAAGGCGGTCTCGGAGGTAGCCAGGTCCTATGCCATGGAGCGCTTTAAAGGTGATAACTAACACCTTAAAGCGCACCCGGAAGGCCACTGGCAACCAGTGCAGCTCGCGCAGCAGCGGTGTTACGTGGGAGTGACGAGTCCCTCCCAACACCGCCCGCGCGGCCGCATTCTGGACCAGTTGAAGCCTCCGGGTGCTCCTCAAAGGGAGCCCCATATAGAGGGCATTACAGTAGTCCAGGCGGGAGGTGACGAG